AGGTGCTGGTTTTGACCTTTAAAGCCCTATATGGTTTGAGGCCTGCCTACCTGAGGGACCGCCTTTCCCCATAGGTGCCCCAGAGAGCACTGAGGTCAGGATCACAAAATCGTTTGACTGTCCCTGGCCTGAAAGACGCCAGACTGGCCATCACGAGGGCTAGGGCTTTTTCAGTGGTGGCTCCACACTGGTGGTACAAGCTCCCGGAGGACATCAGGGCCCTGCAGGACCTTTTACAGTTCTGCAGGGCCTGTAAAATGGAGCTCTTCCTTCGATTAGGCCTTTGATTAGGAGCCGCCACTGACAACCATTGAAAACCATTGTAAACTGAACATGCCACAGCCCTATGTAACAATGCCGGACATGGCCTCTCCCTATCAGACCATGTACAGAAATTCCTGCCATCTGTTTATATTAGCACTTTATGTAATTGTTCTTATTGTAATTTTATTGTATTTATTGGTTTTACTGCATTTTAACTTGTGTAAGCCGCCTTGAGCCAGTTTGCACCGGCAAGGCGGGATATAAATTGAAAGTAAATAAATAAATAAAAATAGAATTGCATTTGAAAGTCAAGATGGGAATACCAGGACCAGGCTATGCGAATGGCCGAGGCTAGACCAGTTTCGTCAGAATCTCACCCCAACTGACCTTCCTGGGCACTTCCAGTAAAACAGAAGTGCAGCCCCCAATGTGATGACGCCACCCGGAAGTGACTTCATCAGGTTGGGGCCGTCAGGGGATGACACTCTGGTTTCTGAGCAAAATGCTATGGTTTGAAGCCAGACTTACCATAGAGTTTGCCTACAAACCAGAGTGTCACCCCCAACGGCCATGATGTGACAATGTCACTTCTGGGTGACATCGTGTCAGGGCCTGTACTTCCGGTTTTACCAGAAGTTGTCTGACAACACTTCTGGTCTCCCAGAAGGACATCAGGAGCCCTCCACCAGCCAGGTAAGTGGACCTGGCAACCCTAGCCCAACTATAGTCTCAATACAAGATAAAATTGTACAATGTGCACAAATGAAACCTAATGCAACCGTTCTTCAGTGATCAAGCATAGATGGTGCACAGGCTCAATATTGCAATAATAATACAAATAGTTAATCAATGTAGGACCAAAAAGAAATTCTGTTGAAAAAGAAAGAAAGAAAATTAACAAATTACATCCAACCACTAACTGTAAGTATACAATAATATGAAAAATTAACTAATTTAAATTACTTACTTAGAGTTACAATCAGTGACGTAAGGCATAGGAGTATTATGGAGGCCTCATATGATATCGCCTTGTGTCATAATCAGAGCCAATTCTGAGCCAATGTATTGTAATGGTCTGTAGTGCAAAGTGGCAGGTGTCTAAACAACTATATGGCAAGCTATAGATGATGTAATCAGGGTGGGGGTGAAGAAGCAAAAGAAAAAATGTATTGTCCATGTACCAATATATCAGTCAATAGAATTATGGGGAAGTGACAAAAAATTATCACAATTGATATGATATAGCATGATATTATGCACATAACTGATCGACTCCAGCTGTGTGGAGGCCTGCCCCACTGCTGCCTTCTACCAGCTGTCCTCTGGCTGGGGTGGTGCAATAAAGAGGCTTCACAAGACCTTCTTCATTGAGGCTGCCACTAGACTGCCACTAGACTGGCACAGAGCCAGCTGAGTAGGGCCTGGATAGATCAAGGGAAAGACCTAGGTCATCTCTCAGCTACCGGAATCAGGAACCATTTCAGGTAGAGAGAGTGGCTGTTGGGGTGCCTGTGTGTCCACTGGCCAGCCAAGAGTGGAGTTGTTCCGTGATCACCTCTGGTGATTGGCCCTCCAAGTCTCCTGTAGTAAAGGGATGCCAAGCATCTCCAGTGAAAATATTTAGTGAAGCTGGCAATAGGGGCGGGTAGCAGTAGGTAAGGAAAAGGGTCACTCACCTCACTGGTGGGATGATCACTGTAGACGGGCCACCCTTGTCTACTATGGAGGATGTTGGATTCCACAGGCTGCTTTAAGTAGAAAAGTGCTGCCATTCAAATCCCTTCTCCCTCAAGAATCTCTTTCTGCCATCCCCAGACCCAGTGTGTCGGCCCCAAGCTCCTCACAGGAGGCGGTTCCACCAGTGCCCTCAGCTATTAGTTAGCATGGATGCCTCTATACCTCTGCAGTGTGGAAGCACTTCCAGAGGATGGAGGTTCCCCACTTTGCACAGTGCCAGCTGTGTAGGGCCCGGATCAGTCAAGGGAAAGACCTGGGTCATCTCTTGACTACTGGAATCAGGAACCATTTAAAGAAACATCATCAGGCGGTGCTTCTTCATGGGGGGGAGAGAGGCTGTTGGGGTGGATATCTGGACCTTCCCTCAGGCAGAGCACTTGTACCCCTTGCTGGCTGCGCACCAGTGGCAACCATTGCCTATTGTTCAGTTCTCCACGTTTAGGGCGAACAACTGGTCTTCTCCTTGCAGTTTGCAGACTGCCCATTTATATGCTCTACATAATTTTACGTATTTCATTTTAATCCCATCCTTTTCCAGCAAGCCTGTAGCTACAGTGGGATGTTTGGGGGCTCCACACCCTTTCTTAAAGGCACAACCCCATAAGAATTTCTCCTGTAAATGATTTTTTCAATCACTTTAAAACATTTTTTAAAAGGTGTGCACTCCTTTAAGTAGAGTGAGGTGCTGTAGTTGACTAATTCCTGCCCTGAGCAAGGGGGTTGGAGTAGGTGACCTCTAGGATCCATTCTAACTCTGTGACAAGAAACTGGTCTCCTATAAGAGAGTTTTTCTGCCTAAGTGTTAGCTTTCTCGATTACAGAAGTCATCTTCCCCACCTGCCGGCTTGTTATCAGAATTGTTACTTAGGCTGGCAGAAGGGATTAACTTGCAGCAGCTGAGAACTGTCATCTAAAGTGGCTGACAGCTTGCAATTTAGAGATCTGTCCAGGTAACAGCTTTGTACTGGCTAAATGGCTTTTCCTTCTGCACTGAAAACTTCAGCACTACCAGGAAAAAAAAACTGTCCCACAAGCCACAAAATCCTGACTACAGGCTTTATACTCCGCCCTTCACTTGGAGTCTCAGAGCGGCTTACAAACTCCTTTCCCTTCCCCTCCCCACCCCACCACAGACACCCTGTGAGGTAGGTGGGGCTGAGAGAGCTCTTGACAGAAACTGCTCTTTTTCAAGGACAGCTGTGCCAGAGCTTGTAACTGACCCAAGGTCACATCAGCAGGTGCAAGTGGAGGAGTGGGGAATCCAACCTGGTTCTCCCAGATTAGAGTCAGCGCACTTAACCACTACACCAAACTTGCTGAAGTTCTCTTAAAACTACTGTGTGAGAGCAGAGATACACCAATGGAAGAGGTAGAAAGGAGCAAGTTCACCCCTTTTCCGTTTCCCACTGTAACTTCTTGAACCATATGGCTGTTACTTCACATGGGACCTGGAACCCCAAGAATATTCTTTCCCAGGTTCCCAAGTGGATATTGTGGGATGAAGAGAGCCAGGAAGGTTGGTCATCCTTGTGCGCAAAGTCTTTGCAGTGGATTCAGTGTATAGATTTCTGTATATACTTGTGTGTGTAAATATAAAATGGGTATTATATCATGTATCTATGATATATATAATTTGAGTTTTCAGTAAGTAGGGAAATGAAAAACACATTTTTAAAAAATCAATAGTATCTAACTTTCAAACCATAATAACAAAGTAATAAAATCTTCAGTGTGTATATATATATATAGATAGATATAGATATATCAGAGGTCATTTCGGGGGGGAACGCGGGGGAACACAGTTCCCCCAGGTGAGGTGCAGGGGAACGGGGCACATGACGAAGCCCCGCCCCCTGCTTCCGGCCGCCCCGCTTCCAGCCCTCATTCAGCCAGGAGGAGGCAAGAGAAGAGGGAGGGTAAGTTGCTTCCTCCCCGCCTCTCCCCACCCCTGCCTGCCTGGGGCCAGGGAGGGCCTTGGCGGGGCTTCCTCGCACTCCCGCTGGCCTTGCAGGTCCACTGCCGGGCCCCTGATGTCAGGGGGTGTTGCATATGCTAATGAGTTATGCTAATGAGTTCCCCTAGCTCTTTTTCTACGAAATGACCCCTGAGATATATAATTCACTTTTCACATATAATTCCACCACCCGCCAGCCGTCTGAAGCCACCTTTTTATAAATTAGTCATGTTTCAGTCAACACTAAACAGTTAGAGGTGGGTTGACAAATATAGATGCATCCTGCAATTTAGACAGCCAGTGCTGTAATTTGGAGTCCTCCATACTTGACGCTGAGCCAGCTCACACTTTAATAATGATTCCATGACACAAGATGACTTCCAGCTAATCTTTATTTGCAAGACAAAGGGAAGGGAGAAGAAACATTTGACAAGTGATGGATATGCATAGAGGGGAAGGTTAACAATAACCGCATAAATATACAAAAATCAACCACCTTTCTTCCATGCATATTGAGCAGCAAAGCAGAAATAAACATCAAATGCAAGTACTTTGTTCAAGTGGTCAGAAACCAATTCGCTATTTGCAGCTCCTTCGGCTGAGGAAGGCAGACCGCTATAGCAGAGAGCACAAGAGGTATATCTGCACTACCGACTAATCAGGGAGGATTTGGTGATAATTGCATCTGTTTAAAGGAGTAGCATAAAAGTGTAGAGGAAGGGGAGAAGGTTGCTGTATCTACGCTACTGAGTAAAACTTCTTAGCTGTGACAATGAAAAATGATGGATGTTTTTAGTGTAGATAAGCCCAGAGGCATGAATTATGGAGCTGGCCAGACTGAGACAAAAACAGTTGTTCTCAGTTCCACTTCAATCCATACCTCCTTTGCTTTGCCTCCCCCCCCCCTTAATTATGTCATATCACCATCCCCACTGCATCTCTCTATTTTCCCCACATGCTTCCCATCACCAGATACCACTCCCTACAGTAGCCCCTCCACCGTGGATTTCCTGATTGTCTCTTACCCATCCCCACCCTACTTGTTCCGCTACCTGTCATCCCATTATCATTTCCCCTACAGCACTGCCTCCTCCTCCAAGAATACCTCTTCTACCCTTCTCATCTCCCAGCGTTCCACCCCTGAGAGCCCTTTGTATCATTTCTTTCCCTTGTCCAGTCCCTGACAGGGCCTCATATCCTAGTTCCCCCTCCCTTTAACTTCTTCCATCCTCTCCTCTCAACTCTGTTCAGCTACATCTAGAACACCCCTAAACTCAGCTGATATTACGTTGAGGGAACCCACCTTCGCTAGGCCCTACCGTGGAATGCAAGGCGGATGCTTCACTGTCTGCCAGGCACCTGAGGGAATTCCTTGAGAACTCCATTGCCATTTTGGTTTCTGTAGTAACCTCACTGGATGGCAAAGCCCCTGCCTCTTGTTTCTCTGGTCTTTATGCACACAGCCTGGCTGATTCTTTTGCAGGGAGATTCCCCTGATATGGTGGTCATGCACCACTCTAGTTATCTGCACAAGGGCCTGGACTTTGTTATTAGACATGACAATATCCCTCCAGGCTTTCTTCCATGGAACGCACAGCAGTATTCATGAGGTTTCCAGGTAGTCTCCCATGCAAATACTAACTAGACCTAGACCTGCCCAGCTTCAGCTAGCTTGCTGCATCATATGCCATAATCACAGGTCATGTCATCCAAAAAATGATGAAATCCAGTTCCTGAAGGACCTCCCAAAGCATAAGGACAGGAAGAATGCTACCAGGAGTGAAATACTGGAACACAAGTAAAAGGCTGAGCCATCGAGCACTCAGCCCCAAGGACAGACAAGCAATCTGGAGACAGGCAGGCAAGAATCAAGCTGGCTGAAGGCCTGGAGTCTGGTGGTGAAGGGGGAGGCCCAAGCTGCCTCACTGAAGGGAAGTCAGCAGATATCAGAGTTCTTATAGCAGCCAACAGCACCAGATTGATTCTCCTGCCCCACTTTGAAAAACTACATCCCCATAGCTCTGCATTTGTTCACAATCACTAATATAGGTTTAAAACTCCCACGTCACCCATTAGATTCCATTTCCCAATTTAATTAGTTGTCAGTTCAGGGGGCTGGTTAAAGAGTGCTGCTGATGGATAAATAATCCTCACAAAGTGGTCTCGAGTAATTTGACCTTCACAGTAAGTCCCATTGATTTCAGTGTTTGAATCAGGAAGTCTTAGGCTAAAGAACTCATACTTAGGTTCAGTGTGCTTAAACAGGCTAAGCAGAAGTAAAATCCCCTCCCTCCCCCCACTCTCCCTGTATTTTGCTTCTGATGCAGACTGCTTAAGTAATCCCTCTGAAATCAAGGTAGCTTAGGACTGGTCTGCACATTGTGGTGACAGAGTGGGGACAGGTACTGCTAAAAACACCTCCAAGATGAATTCTCCACTTCTACCCCCAGCCGTAATGTTTTCAAGCTCTTACCATGTGGTAAAGGATTATTGTTGGTGTGTGCATGCCCATGGGCCTGTCCCAGCTGCCTCCATTGGCATGGAGCAGAATCATGGAGACTCATGAAGTGATGCTGCCACATTATATGATAAGAGTTTGTAAACGTTTTTTGCCGGAAGGGGTGGAGAACGTACTCTGCGGCATCCTGGCAGCCACAACCATAACATGTAGATCAACTCTGATTTCCATTTTTGGAGGGATGAAGATTCAGTCACTGTATTGTAGATCAACATATCTTGCTGACATACAAAGATGCTAAAGGTTGAAAGGAAGCAAATGTGCAGAGCTCTCATTTATGGGTTTCATAACCAATTGCACTGATGCATTAATAGATAGTGGTTTTTTTTAATCAGAGCAGCAGAAGAACACGCCCCCTCCCCAAACAACATTCTGGGCCTGAAGTTTATCTGATGATGGAGCAGTGCCCTCCATGGACTATGCGGCATCCACTCACATCTCTGCGATCCCCTCTGGCATCAGGGGAATAGCCATGGCTACCACTTCTTGCGTGGTCAGCAGATCTGCTGGCACCAGTGGAATAGCTAGTGCTGCTTCTTGTATGGTCAGCAGCACGGCCTTCACGTGAAGAGCTACGACGAATTTCCCTAGAGGTGGCTGGAGGATCACCTGCAGAGGAAATGCGTGCCCTGTGCGCTCCATGACCCCCACTTCTGGAACTGTATCCCCTGCTCCTAGGACTATCACCACTGCTTCTTGCACCAATACTGATAGCAGAGTGCTCAACTGAGCTTCGGGAAGGGATTCCTCCACTCCTAGAACTGTACCCAGTTCTGTGATGCCTTGCATTTCTGGAACTGGGTATTCCTCCTGATGTAGAGCCGTAGTCTGCTCTCACTCCAAACCCGTCTCCACGAATTCTGCCATCATGTGCAGATCTACCAGTTACAGCTGTAAGAGAAGAAATCAAAATATTTTGTAACTCAGGCACACATATCTGAGACTCCAAACAGGGAAATATAGTATTGTGCACTCCCCCCTGTAGCTACAGTGGGCATTTGAAGCATGGCCCCCTTAGAAATACTCCATGCCTCCTCTGAAATTCTAAGGTTTAAAAATATCCTTAATAGTCCTTTTCCTTATTGGGTTATAAGGGTTAAGAGGCATATTTTCCCCTCCCAATTGCTTTTATTTAACTTTAAACATCTGGGACTTATATTTGGAATTTTGCAGTATCAAAATTACTTTATTCATTCATTTATACCCTGGCTTTCTTTCCAATGGGAACCCAAAGTGGCTTACACCAGTCTCTCCTCCTCCATTTTATCCTCATAACAACCCTGTGAGGTAGGTTAGGCTGAGAATGTGTGTCTGGCCCAAGGTCACCCAGTGAGCTTCCATGTCAGAGTGGGGATTCGAATCTAGTTCTCCCAACTCCTAGTCTGACACTCTAACCTCTACACCACACTGGTCTTCATACTTATGCGTCCTTACTGTACGTTTTCTGGGGATAAGTCTGTGTTTGTGACTATATAGGATGGATTTTATGTAGCCTGTTCCTATGCATATTTTCTCAAAAGCAAGACCCCTATCATATTCAGTGTGGTTTATTCCCAAGTATGTATACATGACGTTGCAACATTAGTTACTTACATATGTTAACGGAAGTAGAATTGCATAACCTGTAGGGGAAAGGAAAGGGATATTTGTTAATGCTCCATATTTATGAAAATCTATAGGTGGGGGGGGACATTTAAAATTTGGTGATATTTCACTTTGTAACATTCAAAGTTTTGTATTCTGGTTAATATCACTTTGGAAATCTTGAGGGATGCTGATGCATTTTGAGGCAATACTGTCACAGTCCAACAATGTTATGTCATCCTTGGCCATAATCCAGAGCTGATTAAGAGTTAACAAGGGATTTAGCTAGGTACTTGATACAGTGTTCCTTCCTGGTTCCAGCTGATTCATTCAGGACCCCTTGATTAATGGAAATTAACATCCCAACAGCAATGTTAGCAATGTTGGGGGTGTTTCTTTTTCACCCACCTGTTCTCTTCTCCCTCCAGCAAAGTCTTGTACATGGCAATCTCAATATCCAGAGCCATCTTGACATTCAGTAGATCCTGGTAATCTCTGAGCAGGCGAGCAAGCTCATCCTTAGCAGTCTGCATGGCCTGCTCCACCTCAGCATGTTTTTCTTTGGCATCCTTCAAGGCGCTCTCCCCTCGTTCCTCAGTCTCAGCAATAGATGACTGTAATGCCTCAACCTTGACAGGCAGGGGGGAAAGTAGTTAGCCCTTGAGAACCATACTCGGTCTCTTTACTGAGGTGCTTATCTTCTAGTCCTCCTAGATATTCTAGTCATCCTAGTATGAAGTAAATATCTGGATAGTTCAGGAACTTAACAGAAGAACAGAGGAACTACCTTGCTGGATCAGGAGAAGGCTATCTACTCCAGCACCAAGGTGTGAATCCTACCCCTTTCCTTCCACTGACCAACATCTGAAGTCTTCCTCCAGCCCAAGGAGATTTTTTTCCAATGGAAGAGCCACTGAAGTTAGAGGAAGGCTCCTTAGGCTGAAGGTTAGATCCACACCTTTGTTTTTATTGGCTACCTCATACTGTAAAAAAAAATTGGAGGGTAACTGACTCATGATCTGCATAACTTCCCTCATATCAACACTATCACATCTTGGTAGGGAAA